GGCCCTCTGGCGTCCCAAGCCAGTTCTTAACCATCGCGCCACTCGGCCGGCCCCCTATGATGGTTTTAATAAAATAGTTAAATGGCTCAGCTAAAAAAAAATTAATTAAAAATGAAAAAATAATAAGTGTTGGCAAAGATATAGAGAAATAGGAACGCTTGCACATTGCTGATAGAAATATGAGTTAGCCACAGTAAAAACAGTTTGTTGTTCCTCAAAAAGTTAAACATATAATTACCATATGACCCAGCAATTTCACTTCTAGGTATATATCCAAGAGAAATGAAAAGATATGCCCATACAGAAACCTGTACATGAATGTATAATAGCCAAAAGGTGGAAATGATCCAAATGGATGAATGGATAAACAAATTGGAGGGTGTGTGTGTGTGTGTGTGTGTGTGTGTATTAGAATAGCATTCAGCCACAAAAAGAAATGAGGTACTGACACATGCTACAATGTGGATGAGCCTCGAAAACATTATTATAAGTGAAATAAGCCACACACAAAAGGTCACATATTGTATAATTCCTTTTATATGATACATCCAGAACAGGCAAATCCATACAGACAGAAAGCAGATTAGACATTTTCTGGGGGTGGTAGGGGAGGAAATGAGGAGTGATTACTTAATGGGTACAAGTGTTTTCTGGGGTGATGAAAAAGTTTTGAAATGAGAGAGAAATGGTGGTTGCACAACATTGTGAATATACTAAATGCCATTGAATTGTGTACTTTATTACGGTTAATTGTATGTTACATGAATTTCACCTCGATTTTAAAAAAGAACAACTTTCCTTCTAACGCTTAGCTCATGTTTATCCAGTAATAACAAACTTCAAAAGCCCATACAATATAATTGGGACACCAAATTTACAACTGAAAAATAAGCAGAGGTGCATATTCCCCCTCCCTTATCATCAGGAACACTTGGGGTTAATAGATTCAAAGGCACTTTAGAATCAGATTTCTCTTTAGGGCCAGGACTAGGATAAGACAAGTGAAGCATCTAGGTAAAAAAAATTAAGGAGACACTCACTGTCAGGTTCATGCAAGTGCTAATCCTGAACGTATACAAACTAGAGAGTGAGTGCTTCCTTAAATTTTACACTCTAGAACATTTCGATGGTTGCCAACTGGGAAGGAGGTTGAGGGGGATGGCTGGAAAAGGGGAAAGGAAAGTGACTAGCTACTGAGTGGGAAGGGTAGGGTGAGGTCATTTTCCATTTTTAGCTTAATCATCATCCCATTTTCCCTTCCTGAGAAGGTTAAGAAATAGTTTTTAAAGAAGAAAAGCTAAGGCCTACAGCAACTTCTATTTCTCTCATAATAACATTCATGGCACTGAAGTGTAACTGTTGGTTACTTAACTGCCTCCCTATGGGCTGACTGTGCTTTGGGAGGATATGGGGCATCTCGTGTTCTTTTAACTCCACTGTAGCAGCCCCAGGACCTGGCACAAAACCTTGATATATTTGCCGACTCTTAATTCCTCTCTGAACATTTTTCTTTAAACCACTCCAATAAGGCTCTCACTCTCGCCACTCCCCCAAAACTGCAAGGTCTTTAGTGATCTCCATATTGGTAAACCCAATAACCAATTCTCAGCCCTTATCTTACTTGAGCTGTCAACAGCATTCCATACATTTGATTCCTCACTTCTTCTTAAAACATTTTCACCTCTTCCGGGACACTGCACTCTTCCGACTTTCCTCCAGCTCCCTGGTTATTCCATCACGGTCTTCTTTGCTAGTTCCTCCTCATCTCCTCAACCTCCATATGTTGGGAGTGCCTCAGGGCTCAATTCTTAGGCCTCCTCCCTCTTTTGTGTACACTTACTCCCTAGGTGATCTCCCCAGTCTCATGGCTTTAAATACCAGCTATATATGCTGAAGGCTCCCCCAACTTAAATCTCCAACCTGTATCTCTGTCCTACGTTCCACACTCCAAATGCCCTTACAACATTTCCAATTCAGTAAGTCCAAAAGCAGACTCTTGATCTTCTCCCCACCCCCCCATTTGCTCCCCTACAGGCTGCCCCACTTTGGTTAAATGACAACTTCATCCTTCTAGTTGTTCAGGTCAAAACTCACGGAGTCATCCTTGATTCCTTTCTTTTCTTTCTCATCCCACATCTCATCTGTTAGCAAATCCCATTGGTTTTACCTTCAAAATATTCCAAACTTTGACCACTTCTCAACATCTTCATATCACTATACTGTTTCAAGGCATCATCATCTCATTTAAATTACTTCAATGACTTCTCAATTTGTCTCCCTTCAAATGTTCATGACCCCCTATAATCTAGTCTCAATACAGCAAATACAGTGGTCCTTTTAAAATGTAAGTCAAGATCATGTCACTCATCTCAACCCCCTCACCAAGGGCTTCCCATCTCATTCTAGCCGAAGTCCCTACAGTACTCCACTGCCCCACAATCTACACCCCTATTTTCTTCTCCTTGCTCACTCAGTTCCAGCCACACTAATCTAAATGTTGTTTATTGAATATACCAGACATACTTCTGCCCCAGGGTCTTTTCATTTGCTGCTCCTTCTACCAGTTAGCCACATGGCCATCTTCCCTTGTCCACTTCAGGTTTCTGCTCAGATGTCATTTCCTCAGTAAATCCTTTCCTGATTTTGCTCTATAAAATTCCAATCCCCCTTCTGATTTCTATCCCCTTCCCTGCTTTATTTTTTTCCATTGCACTTATCACCATTTGACATATTATGTTTTACTTGTTTCTTTCTTTATAGTCTGTCTCTCCTATTAGAAAGGATGTTCCAAGAGAGCAAAGAATTTAGTCTGTTTCTTTCACTACTGTATCTTCAGCATCTAGTAGGTGCTCAATAACTATATGTTAAATGTATAAATGCACTATAGGTGCCTAACAAATTTCTGTTCAATTTGTGAATGAATAAAAGGATGGATGCCCGGGTCATGTAGCCACAGCCCAGCTCTTCTGGGCAAGTGCCAGTTGCTGCATCCTGACGCACCGCTGTGAAGATGAAACAAGGACAGCACGTAAAGCCCGAACGCAGAGCCCTCTGTGAGCGCTCACCAAAACACAGCTCTTTCCCCTTCTCCCTTCCCAATGCAGAGTAGCCTCCAAATCCTAACGTCGGGCGAGCGAAGTGCTGTGTGACCACCACACTCACCCTCCACACTCGCTCTCTGCAGACGCGAACCCAGGCTGGAAGCGGGACAGAGTCGCCAAGCCCTTCTGCCCCTCTTACTCACTCACCCATCCCATGCCAGATCACCAGCGGCAGCGGCGCCGGCGGGTCTACATGCCCCAGCGCCAGGGCAGCGCAGGACCCCGGCAGGAGAGCGACAACCAAAAGCCACAGGGAGCTGGGCGACGCCATCTTGGCTCAGTCACGTGACCGGGCTCCAGCCGCCTCCGCCTCGGCTGCCTCGTGAGGTGGGCGTCGGCCCTAGTGTGTTGCTTTAGTAGGCTGCCCTCCACCTTGAGTCAAAATGAGTGCTGACGTTTGTTTATTCGATGCTTATCACGCATCACACAGTATTCTAAGCACTTTACATCTGTTAACTGATTTATCCTCATAGTAGCTGTATACATGTCGTCCCATTTTACAGTCAGGGGACCGAGGCACTGAGAATTTGGATACGGTGCTAAGGTAACAGAGATAGCAAGTTGGTGTTTCCAAAGTCCTTGCTCTTAACCACTCCCTTTGGAAGATAAATACTTTGGGAAAGAAAGGAAGGGAGGATTCAGCCCCCTTAGAAATAGGGAGGTGGGGTGGGGAGAGATAATTTCCAACCAGGGACAATCTAGGCTGGGTGTGGTATTTATTAAGGATCTTGAAGGACAGGTAGGATTTTAACAGGCAAAGATAAAATGCAGGGGGACTGGAATGAGCTAAGGTAGAGAGGAGGAAAAGTACAGTGTGTTTTCTTAAAATGGCAGGGCTTTCCAGACTAACAAGAGCAACTGCTGGATGTGTAATAGTGATGAAAAAAACCACTGCCACTTCCTAGTCTAATCTCAGAGCTGGATTAATTCAGGAGAGTCTCATCTACTATTTTCCCTTTTTCCATCTCTCCCTCTTTAATCCATTTTATGTTCTATTGCCAGATTCATTAGCTCAATCCACTTTCATCATCTTAGTTTTCTGCTCAAGGTTTTAAAATTTTTTTCCAGAAAAACATTGAAATAGCTTAAATAGAGAATTTAAGTAAATTAAATTTACTTAATTGTATCCACTTTGCAATGGAATATTATCAGGCGGGTTTTATAAAGGATAACATAAATTTAATATATAGTGACATGGTAAAAATCCTAAATATATTGTAGAGGAAAAGCTGGTTACACACCCACCAGAAGCTGTTGGGACTGGTGGTGAGTTGTTAATTGAAAAAGTAAATTTAAATGCAGAGTCATAAAGCATTATACAAGTTTTGTTTTATTTTAAGAAAAATAAGTTTATTGTATATTATAAGCATTTTTTAAAAATTCGTAAATGTCAGTTTCTTCACCAATCTTTTGAGATAGTCTCAGGCATTTTCTGTGATTTTGGGACCTCGAATTGAAGTGTTTCTTGGAGTGATTTGTGCTTCTTTTCTTTAACAAATCATCTTTGATTTCTTCAAATGTTTTTTTAAAGTGGAACAATAACTAGAAGCCACTTGTGAAGCAATCTGAATGAAAATTATTATAGATCTGTAGTTTTTCCAATCACAGATTTCTCATACATATCTAATTTAACAATTTTTTAGCAACTTGCCTTTAATAAGCCTTTCCAAAGCATTCAACTTAGTTTTCACAGAAAACATTTTTTATCTTTACACTCATATTTCATAAGTTTACAAAATTTAATTAAATTACAACAACAAATATTACTGATATAAATAAGTGGAATAAACCCAACTAACATTTGGTAGTTAAGCTCAAGTGGCAAGAACAGAACTACCCAGAAGCTCTCAAAAGTAGCCTCCTAACCATGTTTAGTATGCTGTGAGCATTAGTAAGTACATTTTAGGATAGGGAGAGTGGGTTAAATAGGAATTAAGAAAGTACCTGTATTTTTGCAAAAAGTGTATGTATTGTGGTGATGGTTACACCACTCCATACTTACTAAAATCACTGGATTGTACACTTTAAATGGGTGAATTTAATGATATGTAAAACCTACCTTACTAAAGCTGTTCTTTAAACATTTTTGTATTAAAAAAAACATTTATGTATTCACATATTTCTAGCAATGTTCACTGAAAGGCATTGACAAGAAAGAGGAAAGAAAATTATATTTAAAAAACCAGAGAACTGGTGAAAGTTATATTCTGGGGGCCTGTGTTATAAGGAACTTTCATTTTTTATTTTATACATGTCTATGATTCTAATTTACAGCAAGGCTATATAACTTTTATTGTTTTCCAGGTTTTTCTCCCCAGTTTTATTGAGATATAATCTACGTACAACATTGTGTTAATTTAAGGTATATAATATAATGATTTGATATATGTATACAGAACTTTTATAATCAGAAAAATATAAATATAATATACATTAAAAATATTGTACTGCTAGTTTAAGATAAAGGAATGAAGCTTTCTCACAGGCTCTGTTTTCACCAATACCTAAGAAAGTTTAAAAATTAAAATTTTATCCACAGCAAACAAAGGCTAACAAAACTAAGTATATTAAATAACAAGTCAAGGAAAGAAATAGAAGATTCTGGTCTGGAGCTTGTCAAGGCTTCTAACCCTGCCTCCATTCCATCAGAATTCATACTGTTAGGTCCACAAAATCCTGGGAATTAACACATACACTTGTACATATATTCCAAGAGAAAAGAAAATTAAGTGATTTCCTTATCTTTCATCTCTTCTCTCTGGAAAGGTGAAAATGGCTCCTGGAGAGAGGAAGACGAAATGAGAAGTGAAGAATAAACTAACTTGTGCTCGGTTCGGCAGCACATATACTAAAATTGGAACAAAAAAAAAAAAGAATAGACTAACTTTTTTAGGAAGCAGTGAGGAACCCAGGACAGCATACTGAATTGGGGAAGGTTCCAAGGATTGAGGCTCTTCCCCAGAGCATTGGGATACACCAACCCCTATTAGAGTGAACTCTGGAATAGACATTGAAAACCTCAGCAGTGATTGCAGAACTCAAATATTCTAAGAAAGGTTGCACACTACCTCCCCTGAGCTCTGCCCCTTCCCCTCCTTCAGACAAGCTTATAAAGCACAGAAAATGTGCATACAGCATAAAAAAAATCAGCTGTCAAATTGCAGTTCAATAGGAAAACCAAACCAGTTTCAAATAAAGTGGGAAGAAACTTAGGAGGCAAATAAAGAAACAGAAAAAATTCACCCAACTGCTTTGAGCTCTAGAAAAACCTAGAAAGAAAATGAGCTCAGTAGACTAAGAACTCAAAAATGAGATGATAAAACAACTGAAAGAGATGAATAGGGAAATTGCACATCTGATAAAGCATGGACCAAAACAATATTAATATAGAACTAGTAAAAACATCAAAACAGCAAGAAACAGAATAGACATGGCTGGAAGTGGAATTATTGGTGTGGAAAAAAGGATTGAAACAATCATGATAAAGGCAAATGAAAATCACAAAGCAATTAAAACAATCAGGGAGAAGCTAATAAATTCAGATGACACAGGTTATTGGTGTCCCTGGAGTCGAGAGCTCATTAAGTGAACAGAAGTATTCAAAAATATAAAAACAGGGCTGGCCGGTTAGGATGTTGGTTGAGTTGGCTTGGGAGTGCCAGCTCTGAGCAGCAGGGCCCCGTTCGAATCCCACATGAGGGCCAGTGACACTGCGCCCTCTACAGCTAAGATGGTGAACAACAGCTCAACCTGGAGCTGGGCTGCTGTGAGTCAACAGTGACGGCATAGGCTGCAGCCCCTGCTGCAGTGGGCTGCCTTAAGCTACCATGAGTGGCTGGCAGCCAGCGGTATGAGCAGCTAGCAGCCAGCGTGAGCCGCTGTGAGTGGCCGTCCGATGGCCAGCGAGCGACTGCCTCACCCGGGAAGAGTGCAATGATAATACTAACATGGGCCAGTGAAGTGACATCCTCCACAACTAGACTGAAGAACAAAAGGACAGCAACTTGTCTGTTCCCCTTCCCCGATACCCCAACGCTTTTCTCCTTCCCCAGTTCCCCAATAAAATCTTTAAAAAACCCAAACAAATCTTAAAAAAAAAAAAGTGAAATTCAGTCAATTAAGAAATAGGACAAAATTAAGACTTTAAGAATTGAGAAGTCTTGGTAAAAGGACATGTGATGATCAGTGATTCCATTAAATACAGCATTTATGCCAATAACTTGTATGAATTGTTGTTTTAGAGCATATACATGTCATAGAAATTAATAATGTATTGTAACATAATATGACTAAGAAACATTGGGCTCTGTGGGAAGGGGTTATGGAAGATGGTGTGAGAATGTGATCTTCTGATGGTCCATAGCAGGCTCAATTGATTCTAATTTAAAACATGTTTTTTTGAAAACAAAATAAAACAACATAATATCAAAATTGCTTTTCCTAAACTTATATTGATATTTTAAGAAATCTCTCTTAGTGAATAAATCTTTATTTGATGTCCAGCTTTTTAAAATAATTTTTTATTCTATTAAATTCAAGTAAATAACACATATAGTATAATACCATTTTTAAAGTAGCTATATCTAATCTAAATATCTATTAATCTGTTATTCTATCTGTATAACAGCATGGAAAGATATTTAGAATGATGTTAACCAAATGTTAATAATGGTTGTATTTCAATGGTGGGGTTTAGAAGTTTTAAAATGCATTCTCCTTGTGTCTTTTTTTTTTTTTTGGCATTGCTTAAATTCTTTACAATAAAAATGTATTATTTTTATAAGACCAATAAACTGATTTTTAAAAAACAGCAAAATGTAAAACAAACCTTCAATGCTTCTCCTTAGTCTTCAGTATATGGGTGAAGCTTTTATATTCAAAATAAAAACCCAAACTATTTTCCTAACCTATCTTCCTTTACTCCCACATTAATGGGGTTCATCTGTAAGTGGTGATCTCTGAAAATCCCTGTTTCTGCTCCTTTCCCCAAATCATTTTTACTGTTTAGAATAGGCTTGCCATCTTTATTCTACCTAGACAAATACAGCACATCTCACAAAGCTCAGCCTCTGGTCTGTCTCTTCCATCTACCTCTTCAGAGCTCACCCACCTCCCGCCCCAGCATTTTTTAATCAAATAGTTAAAATTATCCATGTAGAGAAGTACCAACAGAATTCTTACTTCCTCTGAATTTGGTTTTAAGAGGAACCATTTAATGGGAAACAAGTAAAGTTCTCTCAATTTAAGTCAATTCCAGGTTATTTTAATGAGTAGCTTCTGAAGCTTATTAATATTATAATAGGAAGT